TCCACAACGCGATCTGCTCTGAAGGCCTCGTCGAAAAGGAGATTCAACTGCGGGTTGCTATCCTCGAAGACTCGCTCGAGAACGTCAAGCGTGCGCTGCGAAACCGGCATGCTTACTACATCACGTCCGTCAAGGAGGGGTCGCGCTCCCAGAGCATGATAACACGGTCCCTTTCGACTCTTCGAAACCTTCAAGCCACGATCAAGCGCCACGCAGCGCGTTACATGCGCGCATACAATGCGCTTCTGGTTTTGGACCCTCGCGGCGTACACGAAGGTGGCTCTTGGCAGAAGCACTTTCAGCCATTGGCACCCGGTGATCTCCGGCCACCGACCGCTGATTATGCTGAAGACTTTGATGGGGACGACGAAGAGGAGCGTGAGCGAATGAGGCACAACTTGGCCCGGGATCAGGGGCGGGCTAAAAAGAGGCGCAAGACTTCTCATCGGGGAAGTCTCATCTCGAGTGAGGGAAGGAAGGATCCCTCGTGGATCTGGTATGTCGGCACTGCCGGTGTGGAAGCGGTGGAAGGCGTCCCAGAGGAAGAAGTGTACGATCGTGCGTGTCTCAGATATCGTCGTCGTCATCCCAGTCACTGAGACGTGGCAGAGGTCCGGGTGGAGTGGTGCAGGCAACGTTCGAGGGCATCTAGATGGCAGGAACAAAAAGAAAGGGTCGAGGAGGAGATGTATCGCGTTCCCCGCTCACACCTTGCGACCGCGAAGAAGTGGGCAACTCTGGCCGACGAGGTATCTTCTTGGCTTGCACCCGATCCTTTCGATATATCACAGGGTGCGGCTTCTCCTCTCCTAGGAGAGCATACCCATAAGCCGCGGCTTGGGAAGGATCTTGTTCGTGGTCTCAAAGCGTATGCGAACAGACAGAGCGCGACTTGGTCAAAATTGGGCGCATCTTGCGTGCGTATGTGGGCGCCGTTCCTCCAGGAAGCAGGCGTAGTCATTGAATGGCCACGCGAATACGTCGGCGCCGCCGCCGCCGCCATCGGCGAATCTCTCAGTGTCATCCAAGATGACGACGCAGACGCGGGGAGCGCTGATAAGACCGCGGCAGGTATGTTCGCTTCCTGGTGTGGCGTTTGATTGCTTCTGAACGCTCTTGCAGATGATACTGAAGCCTGGGAGGACATAGATTATCCCGTCGGAAGTGAGAATAGCTCTGGGGCACGCTTAGATGATGGCCTGGACGGCTCTGAGGTACTGGACTTACTGGACGTATACACTGACGATGAGGAGACGCAAGAGAGTGACGGCACCGTTGATTATATGTAACTATGTTATGACAGTTACGCTACTTCTCCTGGCGATCAAGAGACGGGTGGGGCATTTGTGAAGACAACATATCCAAGGCATGCGTTGAACGTAAACACATGAAGGAGATCGAGCAAGCATACAAAATGGAAACCACAAGATTTCGGGAACAAAGGGAGTGGAGGGCGGGTCCTTTTGAACCGGCGTGCACTTACGCTCTTCAGGAGTTGCCGAGCCCTTCCGCTAGGCTGAGCCTCTGTTCTAGTCTCGCAAGCTCGCGCGAACTGACAGACCCCTGTGAGCTGGTTCTCGGATGCTCTGCCATTCCTTACAGGTTGGAGGAAGTTCGTTTACATACCACGGCCGTACGCCTCTTCTCACTACACGCGCCAAGGCCGACAAGCCCGGCAATATCGCCCGATATGGGGCAAAGTGATGCACAGGAGACTCAAGAGAGCCGCTGTTCTTCGTGACCGGCCGTCATAAGATGAGACAGATAGCACAGGGTATGATACCCGTCGATGTTGACAGTGGTACCGAGTCTGTCACCACTAGTGGGCTCGCGGAGTCGGACGACGCGTACACTCGCATGCGCTTGAACAACCATCATCATCCTTGCTCGTGGCCTACGACATCCACACCAAGTCTAGGCCTCCTTTCGTAGAGCTAGACATGTCAATGTAGTGGCGTCCGGCCATGCGTTTGCGGGCTGCCATCCTCCACTCGTGCGTTAGCTCTTCTCCGCGCCCTTCCACTGCCTAATATGTCATTCGCATTGTTCTCCCCACTAGTGCATGTGACAACCGATCGGAGCTCATTCGGACGCACACTCATAAAGCTTCCAATAGCATCGTTAGACGTTCGCGGTGCGTCTACTAAATTACGAGAGTGGCTGATCTGAGCTGAACTGGGGTTGAAGTGATACGCGAGCACTCAGGGGACGTTTCGAATGCCAGACTCTACAAGACCTCCGGCACACGGGTGCCCGAGCAATGGGACTACATAGGGCCGAGGTACGAAACTCTCGAGATGGCTTTCGTGCGTCTGACCCTCCCCATGCAGACCCCGTCCTCACTGCCTGCCGCTTTCCACGCGCAGCCCTTCCATCAGCTCCAGTCCAGCACGTCAACGGTTTCTTCCCATCAAAGCCAGACCTTCGACCCAGTGTCCTACAACTGTGCTGTGTTCGAGTGTTCCGCCTCGTTTCCCTCCGTCCCGTCCTATACCACGCACGAGCATTTCGATGCGCCTTTGGGTCAAGAATACGGCTACTACTACGCGACGTTCAGCAACTCGTCCTATCTCGCCGATGGCGCTTGCGATGTATACGCGGAGGCACACACCGAACCTGTAAGTTCATCGCCGTTATGCAGCAGAAAGCCCAGAACCTGACCGGTTTGGACGTCAGGGTTATAGATGCTGCGGACTCGACCTCGCCGACATGCACACTCTCGTCGAGCACTTTGAGGATGCGCATGCCCTACACATCGACCCCTCTGCGATGGTCAAGCACCAGTATCTCCAGCATGTGTTGGCGCGAGCGGCCCAAGGAGTTCAGTCAGCATACGAGCCTCAAAGGCTTGATACGCCTCTTTGTATGGGCCACGATTACAAATCGCTTCATGGTCCCTCAGTCTGGCCCTCCTACGTCTCGACAAACAGTGCAGAATTCTCCTGTCGCAAGCCGTGCCTTCCAACGTCGCGCGCGTCAGATGCTGTCCGGTACGGTTCAACCGATGGCACGGGCTCGGACGATGGGTTGCCCTCGAGCTGTTCGGCGTCGCCAACGCCTTCTACTCCACCTAGCGCTAGCCGTCAGTGCTCTGACATATCCGCCGGCTATCCTACGTTGTATGGCCGAGGGCAAGATGCGTTAAGCAGTCCAGTCTCTGCTTTTCACACAAGTACCATCCATCCTACGCCGCAGGTTCCCTGCGGGCCATACACGGACTACGCGCGAGAGCATCCTTCGACCGGCGACGTCGCTATCGTTCCTGCGATGCTTGTCGAACGTCACGACGTCTCAACCGTGAATCAAGGCTCCGTTGCTACAGGAGTCGTTCCGCAGGACGACGTCGCTATCGTTCCTGCGATGCTTGCCGATCGTCACGACGTCTCAACCGTGAATCAAGACTTCATTGCCACAGGAGTCACTCCTCAGGACGCGATCTTGGCGGCCAGAAAACCAAAGCGGCCTCAATGTATAACAGAGAAGGTTGCTCGTCGTTCGCTGCGCAACGGGGTCAAGGTCTCCCAGCCTACTTGCGCGGACTCCCCGCCCCTTCGCCCGCCCTCGCCGTCTCCATATGCCAGACCCTTCCGGTGTCCCAATCCCATCTGCCACAAGTCGTACAAGCAGATGAACGGCTTAACTTACCACATAGAGCACGGCCGGTGCTCTCGTGCTCTGCCGCCGCACATGAAGGCCGTTCAGGAGCTCCTAGCGCAGAAGGGCCTCGATATCAATGACGATCCCTCGGGCGTTGCCGCTCTTGAAGTTCATAGTGAGGCGGATCGTCTTGTTCGCCCATATGCCTGCGCTGTGGGGCAGTGCAAGCGCAGATACAAAAGCACAGCCGGCCTGCGCTATCACTATAGGCATACGGGCGCACACGGCGCGGAGGGTATGGCTCTCCTCGCTGACGGCGAGCATCCGGGCATTGTACGCCGAAAGCCCGACGCGAGCGCAATAGCGAAACAGATAACGCCGCGAGTGGGGCAGTGAGGGCCATGGGCGAGCTCGCACGGTAGACGCACTTGTCGTCTAACGACGCGGATCCTTCTACTTTTCGTATGATGTACTATTAGGCTGCTCGTTGCTGTCGTTATTATCTGCGTACCCATCTACATACGCTTCACCGCCTCTTATCCTTTACGTTTTCTAGCGGTGGGCATCGTTTTTGGCATCTACCGTCATCATTGTGCGGTTGCTTCACGACTGTCTATGTACTCCATTACTACTTTGGTCAAGTTCATCTAGAACGCTCATGCTCATGCGTCCGGCGGGCCTTTCAGGTCCTGGCTCCAAGACGGGCGATGTTCAGCCATCGGTGAGCCTCGTCCGTGCGTCTTGAGCCATTTTGAACGAGACCGGCTTTCCGCACAAGAGCTAATACTACTCTTAGGGCGCATCCGAGTTACGTCGCTTCCGTGCGGCGTAGGACAGGATACGCGAACAGGCGCGAATGCGCAAGCGGGGCTTGCAGCGCTTATTCTAGGTTTGGGCACCGACCTGCTCAGCAAGTTCGTGGAGGCGTGATTCATCCATTGCGTGCGCTGCGTCTACGACCAATTGAGTGCACATCATTTGAGCCCGTCGGGAAGATCGCCTGCGGCTCGCACAACGACAAGCCCAACGTTCACGAGATCGCCCTCGTCGGCGGCTCCACTCGTATCCCCCGCATCGTCGAGCTCGTTTCGGACCTCTTCAACGGCAAGGAGCCTCGCAAGTCGACCAACCCCGACGACGCCGTCGCTTACGGTGCCGCCGCCCAGGCCGCTATCCTCACTGGTGACGCTTCTGAGAAAACCCAGGGCTTGCTCCTCCTCGACGTCGCGCCCTTGTCTCTTGGCATGTCACATGTCCATCCTACCTTATCTACGCTTTCTACTGACTTTGCCATCAGTATCGAGACCGTCCGTGGTGTCATGACGCCTCTGATCAAGCGCAAGACGACCATTCCGACCAGGCAGTCGGGGATAGGCTGGTGATTCTGTATTGGCTGCGACGGACTGTATCACTACACTCTACGCCTTGCTGTATCTCGAGTTGCATTGATCGTACTTTCATCATGTTCTTTGTTCAATTGCGAACTTGCGAACTTGCTAGGGAAAGAGGGACTCCTTGCGGCAGCCAGAGCCGAAAGAGTCCGTCGGCTACGATGAGACAGATTCACACCTCCATCTTCCGCAGATTGGCTCAGGCGTCTTACTATCTATATCACTCGAGATGCGGTGTAAGAGTTGATCGGTAGCTGTAGTGCGAAGACGACATGAGCATGCGCTGGCTCCGGCGTAATGTCGCGGCGGCGGCGACGGGGTCAATCAACGGAAGTGTAACGCGTGACGTTACGCGTAGTTATTGATCCGCCCCGCGACAACCTGAAGCGCGGGCGCCTCTGCATTGAACCGCGCTTGTCTGTGGCCACCATGATAGTCCTTGCTACGAATCCAATCACATACTCCTGCATCGTACCCTTGTTAAGGGCTTTCACCTACATTATACCGGTGAATACGCTATACCACAAAAAGGCAGCACCGGTCCGACGAGCCCTTACAGCTCACGAGCGCTCAGCTCAAACGCGTCGAGGATCTAGTCATACAATTGCACCTGGTGGCGAACTAATCCTCCACGTCCTCTACACCGGGGGCATCTTTACAGACCGAGGGGCGCTTACAGTTGTGGAGACTGCAGTGCGACGTACACCCGGCCCGCTCTCTCCGCCCGGCCACTACTCGCATACGCAATTCACCGGCTCGCGCGTCCAGCATCTCTGCTCAGGAGACCGATGACTCTACAACGGACGTGTAGATGCCTCAGTATTGAGAGGCTGCATGTCTCAGGGTCTCTTCTCCTCTACCAGGATTCCACCGAGCGTGATATCAAGAACGCATCTCTCCGCCCTTTCTCTCGTCGTCGCGACACAAGCGGCCATCGGTCCTTCTGCGCAGCTCACTGTGTCGATTGCGCAACTCGCGCCTGATGAGTACATGCGAGAGTGAGCCCACCATACTCGTGCAAGCAGGGCCGGCAAAGCGGCAGGGACGAGTCATCCCTGAGATCAAATGATGGGTGACAGTCTTTCCATCATGCGATATGGTGATCACCATGGTCAGGTATACAGGATACAATGTGAAGGAACACGAAGATATATGAGCTGAAGGCTCAAGGTAAGCAACTAGAAGAATTTCAACAGATACATGTCTGTCATTCACTGCTACACATGGAGGACACAATGCTCGCAGACCCCAGCATCGTTCACATGGGGCTCTTGAGGGCCAGTCGTATGCAACAGAACACAGGTATGGCATTACCGTGCCGAATTCATCAGTCCATAGCTCGTAAGCACTACACAATTATCAACAACACGCGAGCATGCGGCCAACACCCATTATGCATCCCAAGCGAAGCCTGAGGACTACACGGCAGGACAGATCAATGGAAACTTCTCCACTTTGCCATAGGTGGGGACGACATGACTGACCTCCGCGAGACCGCTGTACATTTGCATTTACCACGTTCCATTCCTGCATCTCCTTGGCATTCTCGATTGTGTCCGAGAACTTGACCTCGGGTGCGGTCTTGACAAGGATGTGCACGGCGGCGGCAGCGCGCCCTACAGATAATGTGAGCGAGGGAGTAGCGTGTGTGATGACGATCCAGCGCACCTGAAGGCATCCTTTCCGCACTCCTTATCCTGAACTTTCGCCGTCGTGTTTACGATTGTTTCCGAAGACTCAGCCTCGGGCGCGGGCTTAAGGAGACCTTGCACAGCAGCCATGCAAAGGAGACCTAGGGAGCACGTCAGTGTAGGAGCAGTCCGCATTCTGACGATGAAGCGCACCTAACGCTTTGCAATATCATACCTCTTGTCCCGA